CATGCTTTATCATCAGTCGTGTGTTATGTCAGTAAATTTTATTACCCTGTAAGAAAAAGACCTACAGCTTCTGGAAGGCGAAGCACGAAGTGTTCTGCACTTCAATGGAGCTGATGAGGCTCTTTGTGAGGAATCTCAGGTAGTTTTTCAACCGAACATCAAACCATAAATTCGCCTCAGATCTACTGTTGCTGCTCAGAGCAAACTTCCAAACACAGGGGAGGATCACCTGCTTCAGATCATCAGAAACGGCCTCCTACAGCAACCATACAGATGAAGTCACACAATTAAAGAAACTGTAAACAGACAAATTCCCACTTGAATGCCACAACATATACATTTGTAAGTTTCTACGGTGGCCCTAAGGTGTAAATGAAAAACATTTGAAAAAACAGAATTGCATTTGAAAAAACAGAATTACATTTGAAAAGATGGAATGACATTAAGCCAAAGTGGAACTGACTGGCATCACATTTGAAAAAAAAACCTGGTTTGGCTTAATGTAATGCTGTTTTTTCTAATGTGATTCCGTTTTTTCAAATGTAATTCAATTTTTTCAAACGTGATTCCGTTTTTTTCAAATGTGATTCCGTTTTTTCAGATGATGTTGTGTTTTGTTGTTTTTGTTGTGTTTTTTCAAATGTAATTCTGTTTATTCATATGTTTTTCATTTACACCTTAGGGCCACCATATGTTTCTGGTGTTTATTTGAAGTGAGGGACATACAGTTTCAAGGAAGGCGTTTGTGTTGTTGTAGCTGTTGAAGATGACACAGACGTCTGAGGTGTTATTGATCACACCAGGCTGACTGAGGAACTGCCGAAGCTCGGAGGTGCTGATGGTACTCAGGAGCTGAAGAAGAAGAAAAGAAAAACAGTTTTATTCATAACGTTTTGTACATTTTTATAAGTCAGGACAAAAATGTTCACATTACTAATGTCCCTCCTACACTGGATTACAGGGGTCTTAGAAAAAAAGTGGGAATTTATTTTTTCAGATATGAAATTCAACTTCCAAAATATGTTCAAGAAACAAATACTGATATATAACTAATATCTTTGTTAGCATTATGCATTGTTTAAAATAACTAGAGGCTTTATTATACTTCAAAACACTTTTTAGAAATATTTTTCTTGTTTTTTAGTTCATACAAACAAAATATCGGTAATGATTTATACTTTAAAGAACACTTTATTTAATTGTAAATAACTTAAAAGTTTTCAGTGGTTTTCACTGCAGTGGGAATTTTATGCTAGAGTAGTAGTACTAGTAATAATAATGAGAATAAAAAAGGGTTACCTGCTTCCTCAGTTTTAACTCTGTTCTTGAAATAGTACTTTGACTTTATTCTTTGATCATATTCTTCACATTCAAGACAAAACAAATCTTCCTCTTTAATATTTTCCCCAAGTTTCCCTACAATTCTGTTGTCTACTCTGCATTTCTTCACATTTTTATTTATTTACCTCAGACTTGCGCGTTGGTGGCAGAAGAGATACGAGTGTTGACACATCTGGAAAGCCAAAGCTGTGGAATGTGCTTTGCAGGAAGATGTAGAAGCTTCCACCCATGTAACATTTCAGGGGTGCTGGACCTGCTTTTCAAAGTAAAATATATTATTTGGTGTACAAATGCAATTATGAAAAAATATGGACTTTTGCAGTAAAAAAAATGAACATTTCTTGTGAATGTGATTTCAGCAGTGCAGCATTTTGTCTCACAAACCTTGGAGGAAGAGGACAATGTTTTTGTAGATCTCCGTTTGCGTGATGTTACTGAGAGTTGTCTTTATTGTATCAAGTAGTGTAAACCTAAATAAAATGAATATAAATGATCAAATAAACACATTAGTTTTCATAAAAATTAAAAGAAAATCCTAAATATCACTATTACTTTCAGACGGCCTTGTTAAAGGATTTTCCAGAGTTCTGCAAACTGGTCATTTGCTTGCACAGTAGAAACTTACATTTCTTGGGTGCTGTTGCAGCTCCTGTTTGTCCCGATGCTGATAAATTGTGTCACCAAACGTGGAGAGAGATCGACCAGTAAAGGCCTCAGTCGCACCCTCAGCCACAGCAGGAACTCCCCGTCGCTTACAGCTGGGGAGGAGAGACCTGCTCTGTCAAACACCACCTGGAGGAAGGTGGATTTCACCTCCTGTGTGTAGTTGGCTGACTGGGCCTGTGGGGATAATCAATGTGAGAAAAGAGACTGAGTATAACATGAAATGTTGCACAAAAAGAGAAAATAATTCAACTATTAAATTAATTTTCAACTTAATCATTTGATTATGTCAGATTCATGTCAGTTTAAATTCAGTCATTTTAAAAATGATTACTTTTATATAGAATTTAAAATGAGACATATGGATTAATTTTAGTAGCATTAAATATTCCACTGTAAATATGACATTTGCAATTAGCAGAATTTGCAATTTGTTTATACAGAAATGATTGAGTTTTAAAATCTACGAGACACCGCTAGCCAAAATTCAAAGCGCCTAATAGTTTGCGATGTTTTGTTTGTTTTGAAGCTTTAACTTGAGTATTTTTGAACATCTTTCTGTTTTTAATGACTTGTTGAGTTTTATGTTTTGGTGATTAACTACAGTTTAAAAATTAATTATGTGCATGTTGTATATCTATTTCTAATGGCTTGAAAAATATACAGAATATGAATCTAAGCTTTAACTTAAATAAGCAATTTTAGTTTGATATTTTTATTTAAAGTTCATCAAGAATTCGGGGAAAATTGGAGACATTAGCTATTGTCCATGTAGAAGAATAGTTTGTTTGTCGCAGTTTATATGTTTATTATTTGCTGAGCAGCCTGAAAACATGAAATAAAATACAATAATTATTTATTTTTATTAAACTTCCTCTTTCTTAAATTAATTACTACTAGGTTTATGTTATAAATAAGGTCTAAATTGTAAACCCCTAACATCTGCAGACCCACATCATGCTCTTATGAATCTAATATTATAGGAAGTGTGTATATAGTTTTAAATGGATATGAAGTTACAACTTTGATAACACAATTTGGGCGGCTGTGGCTGAGTGGTTAGAGCAGTCGTCCTCCAATGTGAGAGTTGGGGGTTCGAGTCCACCAGCAGTCACATGTCGAAGTGTCCCTGGGCAAGACACTGAACCCCTCATAGCCTCTGATGTGTGTCCCATCAGTGTATGAATGTGATAAGCTCTGATTAGTCTCTTTAGAATGATTTGTTCAATTAGCTTTGTAGAGATCTAGTAGAGTGCTGTCTGAACGGGTAAATGAGGACACAGATTGTACTGTAAAGCGCTTTGAGTATCTTGAAATAAGATAGAAAGGCGCAATATAAGTACAGTCCATTTACAATTTGAATGTATATATTTTTTCATACACGTGAAAATAATACTCATCGTAATTAAAAAAAAAAAACCACTGTCATTCTTAAAACGAAATGCCAAGAATGCATTTATTTTTATAACTTCTTCAAAGACGCTTTCTTTGAATAGCAGCTGGAGTTTTTCTTGGTCAATGTGACATAAAAAAACAATGCATGTTATTTGTGTAAAAAGAAAAGGACTTTATCTCAATTTTGTTTACCTCAATAGCTGGTGACACTTTGTCAAAGAATGCGTCAAAGTTAGAAACATTGATGAATGTCATTATTTTTGTCACATCTTGTGTTCCATTTAGCTGTGAAGGGATTGCTGCAAGTTGAGTCAGTTGATTGAAGGTGAGAAGATCTGCAACCTCCACCTAAAACAGACAAGAAGGTAAATCTAACAACACAACCCATTACGTGGTGCAGTGGCATCACTTTCTTACACCTAAATGCAATAACTGTAGAATATGTCTTTTAAATGTATTAAAGTCAGTGTAAAGCAGATTAAAACAATTGCATGGTTATGCATAAAACAGTAATGCATAACCAGTTTAAAAACCAAAGAAACAACTAAAAGCTTTATTGCACATATTTGTGGATGTCAACTGGTTTATAGGTACCAACTTTGTTTTTTTTAATGTAAATTCCTTGATTGTCATGAAATGAAAATGTGAATTTTCATGGGAACCACATGTGCACTTCTTTAGAAGAGTGGAATTATTTTGACAATAATTATGTTGGACAAATATCATGGGCAAACATTGCTTCTTACAACCTTTACAACTGGGAGTTGAAAAACTAAAAAAAGACAGCTGGGGAAAAAAAAGGCAACACTCATCTTTACAATCACAAGCAACAAATGGACCAAATTTATATTTTTACTTAGCTCATTAGCTTACATAGCTTAAGCAGAACACTTAGCATACATATCCAAATATTCAAATGGTACTAGTGACTCCTAAAACCTTTGGTTTAGAGCAAACAAACTAATTTTTCTTTTTCTCTGTACAAGGCTTATGTGAAATTGTCAAGTAATGCATTCAAATAAAATAATCTTTAGAGTATTCTGAGTTCTAAGAGAGTCAACAAGCATGTAATTTTTATCCAATTATTTGAATTCCATGTGTTTTAAATCAGTGAAAATGTGTTTAAAATCTAAAATACGGCTCTTACCCCTTTAAAGTTCTTCTTGAATGACAAAAAGTCCTTAAGAGAAGCTTGAAAACGAAACTGGCCAAAATTGTTTTGAAGCCAACTTCTATCATCAGTTTCTGATTGCACGCATGAAAAACCTTAAAAACAAAAGACAGAATATTTAGATTTGCCAATGAATGAATTGGAAATTGTACAAGTGACCAAAAAGTTTAGTAATAACCAAATATGATTAACAGGTTACCTGAGGACAGCTGTCCTTTGAGATAGTCCAATGTGAATGTCAAGAACTGCTGACTCTGTTGCTCAGAGAGCTGGCTGATAATGTTATCAAATCCTTTGACACTGGAAATAAAAATTTATAAATAAATAAAT